ATTTTGAAACAAACTATTCGATTATTTGCCTATAACATGCATAAATACATTAGAGGTAGTATGTGAAATATTAATCTTAAATTTCTTAAGGACTGAATATTCCCATTTGGTATACCTACATAGTACATAATATAGTGTTAGGTTCCACACACTATTTAATAAAAATAAGTAAAGCAAGTTAATGAAAAAAGTAATAAGGCTTTCTGTTTTTATAATTTGCAGGTGTGTAGCCACGCTGCATGGGGAAAGGCAGCATTGTGGCTCACTCTGCTAATTCCTATAAATGCCTTTTTGTTTTTCAGAAATCTGTGCCATCTTTGACCACAGTTCAATACGATGCCAAATGCTTCTGAATACAGCTATCCTGAAAGAATTTATTTAAATAATTTTGCTAAATTCAAACTATTATTTAAATTTGCACTCACTTCTTTTTTAATTTATTTTATTTTTTTGATACGTACCCCTAGCAGAAACCAAACCCGGGACTCTTTGGTCCACAGGCCGATGCTCCAACCACTGAGCCAAATGGGCCAGGGCTACAGTCACTTCTTTTTTTTTTTTAATATCCTTACCTGAGGACATTTTTCCATTTTTTGTTCAGGTAGGGTGGAAGGGAGAGAGAGGAAGAGAGAGAGACAGAGAGAGAGAAACATCGACGTGAAGAGAACACGTCGAATGGCTGCCACCTGCACAACCAACCAGGGCCAGGGACAAACTGCAACCGAGGTACGCGCCCTTAGCGGGAACTGAACCCGGGTCTCCATGGACCACAGGCCGATGCTCTAACCACTGAGCCAAACCGGCCAGGGCTGCAGTCACTTCTTAGTACATAAAGTCAGATTTCTCAAAACAATTTCATTGAAGATTCCAACATTCAGCAGAGCATCTACTCTACAGTGATCCCTGCGACTTCTAAGCACTTATGCACTTAGAGCCCAAAGATAAGTCCAGTAACATAGAATTGGTACTTCCTATTCATTCAACATAAGAAGGAATCTCTTGCCCTGGCCGGTTTGGCTCAGCGGTTAGAGCGCCGGCCTGCGGTCCGGAGAGACCCGGGTTCGGTTCCCGCTAAGGGCATGTACTTCGGTTGCAGTTTGTCCCCGGCCCTGGTTGGTTGTGCGGGTGGCAGCCACTCGATGTGTCCCTTTCACGTCTATGTTTCTCTCTCTCTCTCTCTCCCTCCCACTCTATCTGTACAAAAAATGGAAAAATATCCTTGGGTGAGGATAAAAAAAAAAAGAAGGAATCTCTGATTGGTATTCATAGTTAAAAGCATTAACAAGGCATGCTTTTTAACATCCTATCAGAATCTTCTTAAAGAAAGACAAAAATGAGGCAAGGACAGAATTCCAAATGATCAAAAACAGGAAATTACACACAAACAAGCATTCGATTAAAATGTAAACCCTTATATATTTGGAAGCACTGAGCATTTAGATGTTTGAGGGCAGGAGCTAAATTTTTCTGAAAAACCAGTATGGTTCGGCATTCTATGCAAGGTAGGTCATGCTGACAGCAACCTTAGGAGTACAAATGATGAGGCCTATATTACAGGCCAAATGCATTCACCATAAATTGTAGGACATTAACTAATTGTCTTTTCATATCATTAGAAGTGATCGTAATTTTCTAGAGTCGCATTAGTCAAATTAGCAAAGAAATAAAGAAGCTGCAGGCTCTGTATTCTCTAAAGAACCTCCTCCCCTTCATTTATCATTGTTACTAGTTACACCATATGGGTAATACTAATCATAATAACAACATTAATTTAATGAAAAGTCCCTACATGCCAGGCATTGAGCTTTATATATATTAACATTTAATTTAATCCCCAAACATCAAGACAGGGACTGCGTTTTTCTTTCACACCTGTATCCTCAGAATCACCATAGACACAAAAAGATTAATTTGTTAAAAGAATGGATATGTAAACAAATGAAAGGCAGGGATAACCATATAGTGTTCAAATCTGCCATAATAAGGAAACACAGTTTTGGGTTTTGTTGGTTTTTTTGTTTTGTTTTGTTTTGTTTTTTGTGCTATAAACTGAACACCACACCCTTGTAAATTTCACAGTAAATGTATAGAACATTAGAAAAAAAAAATAGAGTTGAAAGTAACCTCAAAAAATCTCATGTTATAGATGTAGTCCCTGGTTTAGTGACCTTGAAAAGTGACTTAACCTATTCCTGAACCATAAAATGTATTAATAATATGAGGATAATAATTCATGAAAATAAACAGAGTTCCTAGCATGGTACCTGGCTCTCACTAAATGGTTGATGTTGCTTTTCTATTTGATACCATTTTATGAGTGTGGAAATGTAAAAGTATCACTTTTGTTTTAAGAACTTAAAAAATATCAAGACAATAGTAATGGTGCATTCTGTGCAAAATATGGACAAAAGCAGCATACTGAGACCAACTGGACTTCCTATGATGACAAAATAAGAATTAATCCCAAAGGCAAGTACAGTATAGACAAAAAAATAAAATAAAAGTGGTAGAGAGATAGTTTCAGTCATCATTAATAAAGGGTATGGCCTGTAGCAACACAAGAACTAACTTTTTAAGGTATTTTAGAGAAAACTGTTAGAATAAGTATTATGATCTTTTAACTATGACATATAAATCACCAAGTTATAAAGACCACAAAGACACTTTGTGGCAGAGCCCATTCATCAACACTTTAGCCAAATGTCACAACATGCCCTGCCCACTTTCTCTGCTTTATTTTTCTCTTGGGCACTAATCACTACCTCGCATCCTATTTGTTTTGCTTATTTGTTTCTTCTATCTCTTCTGACTAGAACTCCATGGAGAGAGGGATTTTCATGTTTTGTTTGTCGATGGGGCACCAGCTCCTAGTGCCTAGAAGGCAAATGGTGCTGAATCTTATGTTTGCACTCAGTAAACGAAGGCGGAATTGAGGCCCAATGAGATTGAGTGTCTTATATTTCGCTGGTAAGGAGCTAACCCAGTTAAGGTGTCCAGGACTCCTGCTTCGCATTCGGGGCTCTTTGCAGGAACCTTCTCTCTTCTCAGACCTTCACCTGCCCTTTTATTGGCAACTGTGATGATGACTGAGCAGTATTTCTCAACTGTGTAAATAATCTATGTTCATCTTTTGAGTGTTTCTAGCACACTTTATTCAAGCTGCTTCTAGAACTCCCATTGGAAAGGGGAAAAAGATTTTATTTTTTCAAAATTCCACAAACCTTGGAGATTATATGTGAGAAAAATTACTAGTTCATGAACAGCTAAACATGATGCCATTAGCCTGAATCTGCCTTACATAGAGAGCTGGCTCAGCTCTTTTAAAGAAGAAATCAATTCAACAAATCATCAAACAAGTGTTGGTGAGGGTGTGGAAAAAAAGGGACTCTAGTACACTGCTGGTGGGAATGCAGAGTGGTGAAGCCACTGTGGAAAACACCAATCAGAAAGAATATATGTACCTCCATTTTTATAACAGCACTATTTACAATAGCTAAGATCTGGAAACAGCCCAAATGTCCATCAGTAGATGAATGAATAAAAAAGTTGTGGTACAGCCCGGCTGGTGTGGCTTGGTGTTTGAGCGTTGACCCATGCACCAAGAGGTCACTGGTTCGATTCCCAGTCAGGGCATATGCCCAGGTTGTGGGCCAAATTCCCATTGGGGGACATATAGGGGGAAGTCAATCAATGTTCTCTCCATCAATGTTTCTATTTCTCTCTCCCTTTCCCTTCATCTCTTTCTCTCTAAAATCAAGAAAAATAAAAAAATAATAATTTTTTTTAAAAAAGCTGTGGTACATATACACAATGGAGTACTATGCAGCTGTAAGAAGGAAAGATCTCTTATCCTTTGAGACGACATGGAGGGACCTGGAAATTATTATCCTAAGTGAAACAAGCCAAGCAGAGAAAGACAAATATTACATGATCTCGCTTATTTGTGGAATATAATGAACATAACAGTCTGAGGAATTGGGTAGACCCAGATACATGGAAGTAGGGTACAGATTGACAACCCTCAGAAGAGGAGGTTGTGGGGGGAGGGAAGAGATAAACCACAGAACTTATATGCATGTATGCATAACCGATGGACACAGACAACAAAGACGAGGACAGGGTGGGGAGGATGAGGAGGAGGGTGTCAATGGGGAAAAAAAGGAGAAACATCTCTAACAAAAATAAATCAATAAAAAAAAAAGAAGAAGAAATCATACCCTACTTTTAACAATAAATTTAGCCCTGGCTGGTTTGGCTCAGTGTTTAGAGCATTGGCCCATGGACCAAGGATCTCATGTTCCATTCCAGTCAAGAGCACATACCTGGGTTGCAGGTTTGATCCCTGGCCCCAGTCAGGGTTGTGCAGGAGGCAACCAATTGATGTGTCTTTTTCACATTGATGTTTCTCTCTCCCTCCCTCCCTCCCTTCCACTCTCTCTAAAAATCAATGGGAAAATATCCTCAGGCGAGGATTAACAACAACAACAAATGAATTTAACTGATTTAAAACTACTTCAAGAGAAATAAATGTCCCCTGCTTCTCATTTCCTGCCAACATTCCATTTCAAAGTTCAGCCTGCTGTGGGAAACTAAAAAAGGAAGCCCCTTTTTATACCCGAAATGCCTCTTCATTCCACATGCAAAAGCTTCAGGATAGTCCCCAGGATGAACAGCATTTCAGGGATCCTCAAACCCACTTCCACATTGAGCCCTCAAGGCAGGCAAGCAAATATAGACTCCCAAGCCTTTCCAGAAGAGTCTCCAGAAAGATGAGTATGGCAGAGACCTAATCCTCTGATTCCAATGTGGGTCAAAGAGAACATGAGTAAACTGAAACATCTTCTTCCCCAACCATGTGTGATTCCCTAAGGAAGAAAGCCTGCTGATGCTCTCTAACAAGCATCCACAGCAAGTCAAGAAGCTGAATCTCCACAGATCAAAGCCTATTGTGCCCTCACCTCTTTTCCATCCTTAGTCTAGAAAGATAAACTATTCCTCACCTGGGTCAAGGTGCTTATCTCTGGGCACACATTTGGGATTAGATTATTCTGAAGGTCTAGAATCTTCAGGCCAGGCAGCTTTCCTAATGTTGAAGGCATCTTTGTCATCTTCTTCCCATTCAAGGTAACAATCTTAGTGCTTTTACCACCCTTTAATGCTCTTACTAACAACTGTTCAGCCATGGGCTTGGAAGAGAAATAGAAGAAAAAGAAGGTAAACACTAGGGATTAAGTTCCTTATTATGCATCTTTAGAACCTCTAATTGCAGAATTGCTGTCATGGAAACAAAAGCATTCTGAGACCTACCATGTTGAAGGCAGGAGGCATAAGATAGATTCCAGAGTAAGAGGTAGGGAGGGGAAATAGCTGAGGTAGGTTGGGCTGGAAATGTACAAGATGAGACTAGAATATCTTATGCCAGAGATATGGAAGTTATTGAAGACTAGTAAGATCACATCAAAAGAACATAGAAGCCAACTTATAAGGACTCCCACTGGTCTAAAATCAGAAAATCTAGAATCAGAAATAATAATTGAGAGTGAACGATGCACGAACACCTAAGGTTTCATAATGCTATTTTTTAAATAAAAAAAACCTCATTGATTATATCGGGACTTGCTAGGGAACCAATTCATAAGTCTGAAAATTAATAAAGGAAAAAATGAAGCATTTATTTTGCTTTTCGGTATACAGTGCATTTTAGTATAACCTAATAGTTTAAAAAGTTCTTATTCACAGATTAATTGAAGGTAATAAATGAGTAAGGAAACACAGATTTAGAAAAATCACCATTTTAGCAAATTCTGATAAAATAATGGGATCTATGCAATTATAATTGGATGCTAAAAGTATCAGGTGATTAGCACACAGTTGTCTGGGTCTATGTGCTATATATATATGGGTTGTTTTGTTATTAATTCCTCCACCTTCTTTCATCCAGTTCCTCAACACTGCTCCTGTCTGACAGCTGTCAGTCTGTTCCATGTATCCATGCCTCCGTTTCTATTTTGTTCAACAGTTTATTTTATTGGATTCCATATATAAGTGAGATCATATGGCATTTGTCTTTCTCTGATTGGCTTATTTCAGTTAGCATAATACGCTCCAGGTCCCAAGTGGGGTGTGGGTAGGTGGAGGTGGGCAACAGGGTAAATGGGAATGGAAAGACTTGCTTTAGGCAGCAGGTGCAGATGCAGTGTGCAGATGATGTTTTGTTGAGTTGTGCAGTTGAAACCTGTGTGGTTTGGTGTACCAATCACCCCCAAAAATTTAGTACATAAATAAATAAATAATCAAATAAATAAATGTATCGGGTGAGTGGTTAATGAAAAACTTTATAAGAAAGCAACTGTCAAAGTCCTAAAGAAGAATCATTAAATTTATAAAGGGTATTATAATGAACATCAACATCATAACAGTAAAACAAGAGGTGATTAATAATGACTTCCAGTGGCTAGTATAAAATTATTTCTCAGCGATTTAATCACTGCTCTTTGTCTTATAACTTCCAATACTATTTTCTAACTTACTCTGATAATGTTTTACTTTCCTAAGAGCATTTATGCTGTTACTATCTAAGCAAAGTGAGCATAAGGGTTTGCTTTAAAAAAATATCTCACGGCCCTGGCCGGTTTGGCTCAACGGTTAGAGCGTCGGCCTGCGGTCCTGAGAGACCCGGGTTCGGTTACCGCTAAGGGCACGTACTTCGGTTGCAGTTTGTCCCCGGCCCTGGTTGGTTGTGCGGGTGGCAGCCACTCGATGTGTTCCTTTCACATCGATGTCTCTCTCTCTCTCTCTGTTCTTCTCTCTCCCTCCCACTCTACCTGAACAAAAAAAATGGAAAAATGTCCTCGGGTGAGGATTAAAAAAAAAAATATCTCACGGACACTCATCTCCTCTAAAGTAACTCTGTGTGGCCAGTCTCTCAGCTGATACTATCCAAACAGTAGTATAGTAAAACCTTAATATAATGGACTATTTTGGGCAAGGGAGTGTCCATTAAAGCCAAAAGTGTTTTATATAATAAAGTAGGTTTTCTAAATGCTATGTTAAAACATTAACAAATTAATTTACCTGTTTTTACTTATGCAGTCATGTTTGTGTAATTAAAATTAAGCATGTAGCCTGGCCACTGTGGCTCATTAGATTGAGTGTTGCCTCATGGTCTGAGAAGTCCTACTTTGATTCCTGGTCAGGGCACGTGCCCGGGTTTTGGGCTCGATCCCCTGTAGGGGCTGTGAAGGGGCAACCAATTGATGTCTCTCTCTCACATAGATGTTTCCCCCTCCTTCCCTCTCATTCTATGTAAAATTCAATGGAAAAATATCCTTGGATGAGGATAAAAAAAAAAGTGAGAATCACAAAAGTTAAAAACATTGAGTGACTCCTTGTCAGGCACTGTCCAAGATACCTAGCATACAAATATGAATACACCATAGTCATTCCTTCCAGGGAGCTTAGAGTCTAGAGGGAAGTAAGAAATATAAACAGGTCATTCACTCTTTGAATATTTTTTCAAGTTTTACTGGGATATAAGTGATATATAAGATTGTATTAGTTTAAGGTGTACAACATAAAGATTTGATATATATAGATGTTATAAAATGATTACAATAATCAAATATTTATTAAGTAGCCATTACATGTTAGGCACCATTATAGGGCTAATGTACTGATAATGAATAAGAAAGATTAGGTCACTTCTCTCATGAAGACATTTCAATGCAATAAATGTTAATTTAAATAAGTACAGGTAGCAAAGAACTTGATTTGTTGGTTCAAGGAAGATTTCCTGCTGTTGACTAAAATAGTTATATAATAGGTTAAAAATTAACCAGTTAATAAAATAAATGTAAGAAAAAAAACATTTAATAAAACAGACAATGAAAAAAATTGTTCAGGCATAAAATACATGGGTCAATGGGGAATATAATTAATTCTAGTGCATAGGTTTAAAGAATGGAGCGATAGGAGGTGATGCCGGAGAGGGGCACGGGACCAATTATGAATCTTTCTTAAATGTCATAATGAGATTGTGCTTCATCCTGCAGGACTGAGCCACTGGGAAGCTTAGGTTAGGAAGATAGTAGTTGGATCTGCGTTTCTGGCCATTCACTTTAGCAACATGAAGAAAGGTTTAAGGGAGGAAGACAAGAGACAGGAAAAGCGATTAGGAGGTTTCTGTACTATCCTAGGTGAGAGAGAAAATGGAATGGAAAGAAAATGATAGGGTATAACATGGGTACAATTGTGCCTAGAACCTGATCTCATAAGTACATTAGATGGGATGAACCACAATTTAAGATACGAAGTATGGGAATAAGAGTTGGGGAGTACTTGGCAGGGTAAGGCTGTGGCACTGGCTCGGACTTATGAACACATAAGAAACCTAGGCAGAGAAATACAGAAAAGGAGGTGGGTTTTCTACTTCACACTTGAGTTTTGACCCGCTTCTTAAACACACTCACTACACATGCCCAGCTGAAAGGTTGCTGAGCTCTCTGCTGTACTGGTTAATCTCATGGAATGTCAGCATCCACAAGCTTTCTCAGCAACCAGAAATCAATTTGACAGAGTGTTTGGGGAAAATTTAAAAAAAAAAAATTTGAGACAGCACCATCTGTAAAATCAGCACAGAACTAGGAACCTTAAATCAAATATTAATCCAGAGCAACTGACTACTTACTTATGTAAACTTAAACAAGTCAGTCACACTGAGTAGATTTCTCTTCTCACCCATAACAAGATAAAATACCAAACTATTGCCCTGGCCTGTTTGGCTCAGCGGTTAGAGCGTCGGCCTGCGGTCCGGAGAGACCCGGGTTCGGTTCCCGCTAAGGGCATGTATCTCGGTTGCAGTTTGTCCCTGGCCCTGGTTGGTCGTGCGGGTGGCAGCCACTCGATGTGTCCCTTTCACGTCGATGTTTCTCTCTCTCTTCCTCTCTCTCCCTCCCACTTTATCTGTACAAAAAAAATGGAAAAATGTCCTTGGGTGAGGATGAAAAAAAAAAAAAAACAAACAAACTATTCCACTGAGATTGTGGGAAATATCTAACTAATGATTATAAACTACGTAACACCCTAGAATCTCAAGGACTTCAAAGTAAAATCAATTTGACTAACAGAGAGGGCCTATTCCATATTAACAATCGATAATACAAAGTCTAATTACGGACAGAATAGAAGGAGCAGAGAGAAACAGAAAGAGGACTGTACGAGAGAATGCCCAGCAAGACTGGGGCTTGGGAAATGGGCGTTCCTGGCCTGGACACGATTGGAAGTCAACAGGCAGGAAGGAGTGGTGGGAAGGAACAGAGCCAGTGCCCTGCCTAACGCCGCGGCCACCGCTCAGCCCTTGGTAAATGCTGCCAAGAGAAAATCTTGGCCCAGTGTTGACCGTTCCAATTTTTTTGAAAAGCTAGAAATACGGCTTTTAAGGGAAATCTTCCCTTTTTTTTTCTTTTTTTTTTTTATCCTCACCCGAGGATATTTTTCCATTTTTTGTACAGATGGAGTGGGAGGGAGAGAGAGGAAGGAGAGAGAGAGAGAAACATCGACGTGAAGGGACACATCGAGTGGCTGCCACCCGCACGACCAACCAGGGCCGGGGACAAACTGCAACCGAACTACGTGCCCTTAGCGGGAACCGAACCCGGGTCTCTCCAGACCACAGGCCGGCGCTCTAACCGCTGAGCCAAACTGGCCAGGGCAAATCTTTCCATTCTTAAATGCTACCAACTAACTGACCTCCCCCACCCCTTTAAATCACTAAACAGTCCAAATAAAATACACCTCTGGGCCACTTTCAGCCCTCTGGTTTGGAAGTTCTAGTGTGGAGTGAGGAAAAGATGGTCAAGGGTAACAACCTGAAGGAGTCAGAGGAAGAGACAGCCCAGAACAGAGACTAAGGAGTAGGAACCAGCAAGGAGTAGTGTTATGAAAAGTAAGAGAATTTCAAGGGGTAAGCAGTCTACTGTTAATTGCAGCAGAAACTCCCAGTAAGACAAGGACAAGTAAGTGGTCACTGGTACTACTTTTAGAAGCAGTTTTGTTGGATTGGGGGAGGCTAAAATACAGTTGTTGGTTGAAGAATATATATATTTCAAAACCACAAGGTTAAGTGAATAGAATGTCTGGATAATCCCCCTTCCCCCATCGTTGTTCCCCCCACACCTGCTACTGGCTCTTGGTTGGTAGAGGCCAGAAATGCTGCTGAACATCTTATAATCACACGACAGCCCCCACAACAAAGAATTATCCAGCTCAAAATGTCAGTGGTGTCACTGCGGAGAAACACTCTGATGTGGGTGTATAAAGCCTTTCTGATTTCAGAAGGAAAATGCCTGTTTCAAAAACAGCAATGTAAAACAAGGTCATTATTTTTCCTCATCAAACTTATGCATTCAGGGTTCTCATTAATCCTCGTGTTGATACTTTGTTAATATTATAAACATAAATAGGAGTTTCCTTCTATCAAGACCAGGGTGATATAGATAAGAAAAATCAGGAGATTCTGTGTCATCCCTGTTCAGAGAATGGATATATTCAGCAAACTTGTAGAAAGCAGTGATTGTTTCAGTCATTCTGATTACACTGAAATAAGACAAATATAAACTTCATGGCAAGTATATTAACAAGGTTTTAAAATATATTTTTAGTCTGTACACTTATTTTAGAGGACCTTTATATCTTATAGATTCATTAAAATCAGATTGTCCTCATTGACACATGAAGATAAATTAACCATAACACACTATCAGAAGAAAAAAAGACAGTGCTCTGGAGTTCCATTCCCCAATAGACCAAAGACTTCAGAATTCATCCAAGAACAAGGTAAATCGGAAAGCAGCCCTTTTATGAACAAGCACTACTGTCAGTATCTCTATTCCTATTCGTCCATAGTATATGACAATTCCTCAGTCATATACTATCCTCTCAACTGATCTTAAGACTGGCAACAAACATTGATTAAGCACTTAATATACAGGCCAGAAATGTATTTAGACTAGGGGAAAATAATAGCAATAATAAAAAAAAACAATAACCTAAATGCACGCTTGTAATTAGCTGTTAGTCACTAGAAACACGCCTGAACTGGGGAACCTAACCCAGCCCAGGTGGCAGGACCCGGTAGCCTGCCAAGGTAGGTGCTATTTCGGCTGAAGGCAGGACAGTAGGCTAGATGAAGCAGGTTGGGTGAAACATTCAGCTTTGAGGCCTTCAAGTAGGAGGGAAAAACAAGGGGTGAAGGACAAGAACTTTGTTTGCTTCCTAAATCTTACCTTGAACAAATAATTATAAATGCCATGAATTCTATTTTTCTACAAGATGGAGAGAGGCTACTTTTTTTTACAGTACCTGAAAATGCTATTTACTTTTTTAAAAATGAATTTATTAATTTATTTTTGTTACAGATGTTTCTCCTTTTTTACCCCATTGATACCCTCCTCCCCATCCCCCCCACCCCATCCCCGGCTTTGGTGTCCATGTCCATCGGTTATGCGTACATGCGTATAAGTTCTGTGGTTTATCTCTTCCCTCCCCCCACTACTCCCTCTTCTGAGGGTTGTCAGTCTGTACACTACTTCCATGTATCTGGGTCTACCCAATTCCTCAGACTGTTATGTCCATTATATTCCACAAATAAGTGAGATCATGTAGTGAGAGAGGCTATTTCAAACAAGACTTAAAAAGTAGAAGAATCGATTATGTTCAACACACTAGACAGGAAGAAAAAACTTATATGTTCAATAAAAGTAAAAACAGTATGAAATTGCTAATTATCAGAAAAACAACTGATGTGCTCCTTTAGCTAGTTCATGACAACCTGTACACCAAGACACATTAACAAACGTGTGCCAGCTTCATCTGCACAAACGTCCTTCTTACTGCTTCACATTCTCACTCACTAATTATTCCTCTTTTCTTCTTTAACATCCACCAGTCTGAGAATATTTCAATTCACATACCCGAAATCAACCTTCATTATTCTAAAAGAAACCAAATTCCAACCTGATTTCTAAGAGCCATGCCTTAAATGGCTATTATTTTACTACCCCCTCATTCTGTTTGGGGCATATTTATTCCAAATCTTTTAAATGCAAGAATATGTTATTATATTATTTTCAATTGCATGTGAGGACATTATAAAGGCTGGATAAAATTCTAAGAGTTTCCTCGCCCTGGCCAATTTGGTTCAGTGGTTAGAGCATCAGCCTGTGGTCCAGAGACCCGGGTACAGTTCCCACTAAGGGCACGTACCTTGGTTGCAGTTTGTCCCTGGCCCCGGTTGGGGTCATGTGGGTGGCAACCACTGGATGTGTCTCTCTCACATGGATGCTTCTCTCTCTCTCTCTCTCTCTCTCTCTCTCTCTCTCTCTCTCTTTCCTCTCTCTCCTTCCCACTCTATCTGAACAAAATATGAAAAAATGTCCTTGGGTGAGGATAAAAACAAAAAAGAGTTATCTCTATTTCTATATTCTAAAATTGTTCATGAATAACAATTTAAACAAATGTTTAATTAATCTTTTATTTTTCTTTTGGCAAACAGATATGAACAAAACTCTATTGCTCACTATAGTGATACACACTCTTTTTTGCTTTACACAATTTGTAAACATATTTAAGTGGATAAAATTCTTAGCTTAGCACATATTCCAGAACTCTGACACACTTTCTGAGTTAAAACAAAAGAAGCTTATGAAACTTCCATTAGACTATCATTATACAGCTAACTACATTAGTTTATCTGCTTTTAAATTAACATCTGCCATTTTTTAAAGACTTCAATTTTACTTTAGAGCTAAAATGATTTTTAGCTGAAGTTTTATGGAAGAACAGAAGCTAATCATACAAATATTGTTCATAACCATATCAACCATTTAAAAATTTTAAATAAAAATAAAAAAATAAACCTATAATCAAGAAAATGCTTCTTGTCTTGTTAGAAAAACAAGTATCAAGTTATTTTCCAATGCTCTAAATATAGATGAAATTTATAATAACAAGGTTTCATGATACCTTCTTTTATTTCTTAATGCTTATCTTTTCATTTTAAAGTAACAGATTATTTCAAAATAAAAGCAAGGTATCAATATTTTATAATTTCATTATTTTATAAATTTCAGACCCCAAAGAAAACTCAGATCATGAATTGCACAACAGGCAGCCTTCAGAACATATTTTGTTTGAATGGCTTTTGATCTCTTGAAACGGAGTATCTTCATGTAGTACCTACTTGCTCTAGTTGGCCAGCTTCCCACCCCATCAAGATAGTGACACCCCATTTTTTATATGTAAACCCGATATTGCAAAAAATTACTTGCATTCATAAAGCAGAAATTCAAATATTATAAACTTCATGCTAAATGTTACTAGTTATTTTTAACAAGGAAAAAATAGATCCAACCAAAAAGTTCTCATTTTCATAATACTTCTTTACTTATCAAATTATCAGACTCATCTGTATATATGAGTACTATCTTCTTAGAAGCAATACTGTTATGTGTAACCTGAAATCTGAGCTAAACAATTCACACCAAAAAGTATTATATACTGATTTTTACTATACAGTCTTGGCTCCTAAAGGGTGGCTTTTCAACCCAGCCGGTGTGGTTCAGTGGTTGAGCATCGACCCATGCACCAAGAGGTCGCCAGTTCGATTCCTGGTCAGGGCACGTGCCCAGGTTGTGGGCCAAACCCCCAGTGGGGGGGCACACAGGAGGCAGCTAATCGATGTTCTCTCTCGTCGATGTTTCTCTCTCTCTCCCTCTCCCTTCCTCTTTCTCAAATCAAAAAGAAGAAAAAAAAATTTTTTTTTAAAAGAGTGGCTTTCAACTTTATCCATATATGTAATACAAAAATTCTCAGATACTTGAGTTAAGGAAAGATGACATTAAAAGGCTAGCAAAATAACAAGTAAAAAAAGGCTTTCTTTGAATCCTAGAGAATGAAGCAAAAAGAAAAAGATCTTATAAGACAAAGTGGAAAGGAGGAAGGATGTGCAGTATATTTATTTGGCCTTGGACACTTTCACACTGCTTCTCCTTCAACTTGCACAAGGCAACAAGTGAGAGGTCACGAACTGCTTCTTAGTGGGAAAAGCTGCAGGGAACGCAAAGCAGCTGAGCAGTGAAGGAGAAAACACAAGTATAAATATGTGTAGTTATGAAAATAATCAAGAAGTTGAAGAAACAGCAAGTAGTACCAAATTAATGACATTTTAAATTACACACAAATAAAAGGCTAATCTGTAATTCTTTGGAAGTTTAAATCTGATAGAGAACACCTATTTACTTTTGAGTTTGTCTCATTTCTTAAAGTGTAACAACTGATTCCCATCTGAAAAAAGTTTTTAATTCTTAATCATTAAAACAAGCTTCTTAGCTGTAGTTTGATAGGTTATAAAAAGTTTCAAACATTAATCCCTCCAAGACCAAGGTTACTGCAGTGAAGTTTATTTATAAGCATTAATTAAATTTGCTACCCCCATCCCCACATTACTGCAATGACAAAGGGACTGAGTAATTTCATTTCTTCAAGAAAAATTACATTAAAATGGTTACTGAAAACTTTTATTAAAACATTAAGATTTATTTCAACAGAATGTTCAGGATCCTATATTAATAAAAATACAAGCAAACAGGGTTGCATCTTGGTCTATGAATGATGTTGTCCACAATGGACTTACAAGTGTTTTTAAAATACCACTAAGGGGACACCGGTTAAAGTTTGTCTCTGACACTTTTTTTGTTAAAAACTTTTAGCAGCTTTGCCATAAAAGTGATTGAAAGTAGTTGTGTTTTTCAGTAACATTTAGAACATTCCACCACTTGGTATAAATACTCATTAGCACACTGTACTAAAATATAACAGTGCAACACTTTGTACACTAGCTGCAAGGTTCAGGAGCTCTGTTCACCAACCACGTAACAGAATTGTAATGTTCTCCTAGGCCATATGCATGTCTCATATATCTGAAATAAAAACAAAGAAATGAGTAGTTCTGATGAAGGTAATTCCTCGTATATAAATGTTTACTATGCATATAACACCAAGCACTCTGAATGAATCACTCCACAGAGGTATCATACAATAAACTATGTAAGTGTATTACTTTCAAGTTCAACACCATGTGAAAAGCATAAGCAGTCAGTAAGATCTCTAACCCTGTCTGCTGAGTATAAGTCAAGTAAAACACAATCACTGGAGGGGGAAAAAAGATTGAAATGTTGAGTGCTCAAATAAGCTTAAAAATTTTACCTAAATCTATTAATGATCATCTTAGTACATTTAGCTAATAAACACTAAAGCCGATAGCAAACTCCATGCTGTGTTTCAGAGGAGATTTCTCAATTACGTAAAATACTTCTACAATATAAAGAAAAAAATCTCTAAGGAATAAACAATCAGGCAACATGAATATATTTCAGCTTTTTCACTCATTGAAACTTTTGGCATTATTATGCCAAACCAGGACAATATTCAAACTAATCCTATAACTTTCTACCTTTAGAAATGACTTTATTTTTAACTCATATGCAAAAAAATAAAAATAAAAATAAATGAATCACTATAGATTTAAACAATTATCTAATTCTCATATTTTGACGATGCTTTTTAATTCTAATTCTGCTAAAGATAGTTTTTTTGATTAATCAATAACAACCTAAAATCTTTTAATAACCTTTTTTGTCTTAATTATGAAAAATATAACAGTAGACATTTCTAGGTACTTACACAAGTATTAATGGTTTTTTTGGATATTCTTCGCCAACTACAATAGGAGGAGAATCTGCCTGTATTATCTCTATTGGTGTTTGTAAAATATGAGACAGGGCTCTTAGCTATAGGAAAGAAAATGTATTAGTAAAAAAAAAAATTAAACTGTAAATCTTATTGAAATCATAAACTACTGAGGTATTCATGAATAGGGCGATCAGTCAGAGCAGGGATTCTCTCTGTTCCTCACTATACACTGAGAACCTGGCACACAGTAGGCACTTAATACATATTTGTTACATTAACAAACAAATATAATATTTATTAAATCGAATGCAGAAGTTTCAAGCCCTGGCTACATAATAGCACCTTAGAAATATCAATGTCATAGCAAATAAAGTGAGGGAATGGGCTCTCTACTTCTGAAAATAATAAAAAATTTCCATAATAAAAAGTTTTTAAAAAAATCACTGTTAAAGCACCAGGCTGGATCAATTACAGTTTTGGAGGGAAAGAGGGAACAATGCAGAAGAGGAGGTTTATTTTTCTTAAAGCTTTTCAGATGATTCTAATGTACAACTAGTGCTGATGGCCACTGCTCTGTCATTTTCAAGGTGCTAATAGAATGAGGTGTATATATGAATTGTACTATTGTTTCATGGAGTTTACATCTAATTAATACACAAGTTTAAGTAATTTTATAGCATAAAAATAAAACTGGAGCTTAAAGCTGGATGAACAATAGTTATTAATACATTTAATCTTCATACAACCTTCTGGGATAGAACTACTGTTATACTTATTTTATTTTTGTTATTCTTATTCTGAAGGCCTAGAATCTGATGCAGAGAAAGGTTAAGAGGCTGCCTGAAGTCATGCACAAGACAATGAAATGACCTGCAAACTGAGGAAGTTCACAAACAAATTAATCATTTAACAGTCTTTAATATAGGGCCCTGAACTATGTAGTTTGACCCATTATAAGATCATTCAGTCTAAAACATGGTTCTTTTAGAAAGTTTTAAACAAAATAAGAAATTCCCTCAGGAATATGAAAAAGGTTCTATGTTTTCACAGTGGCAAATTTAATCTCATACTCTATCTCATAAAATGTTCCTTTAAGGCACTTTTTTCTCATACCAAAAATAACATTTTTTAAAAGCTAGCTTGGAATGAAGGGTGCAAAGCAAGCTCTGAAAAGATTAATATCCCTTCTCAGTCTTCAGAAATCATATAAAGATTTTCTCAATCATAATTTAACTTTACCCCATTGAAAAAAAAACAGCAAATCTTACTTCAAATGGATTCAGAGATGAAGAATTTATGAGAAATATCTTTTGAAAGACTTTTTAAAGTTTTTTTCTGAATTTATAGAGTCATTTAGGTCTTTAATTCTCCTATTAACTTGGGATCCTTATAAGAAAGTTCAAGCATCTTTAACTACTCCTTATGTAATCACAAAGCTACTATGAAAACGTCCTGAGTTTTAGAGACCCACGAGAGCCTCACAAAATGAATGGACAGTTGCTCTTCCATCCCCGCCGGGGCTCAGAAGAGGTACAAATATACCACTATTCAGAAAAATATTTTGAAGAAGCATTCATATACCTTTAAACAACATACTTCTTAAAGTGAAATACTCAGAGCCACAAATTATTCAATATGACTAATCACTCCACAATGTTAATAATACTGCCAGATTCATCCACCTGGCTTTTTAGCTTACAAGCTTCTATGCATACACTCCCTGCCTTACTTAGTGTCCACAAATGATCTACCGAGTATACACAGGGTTTTTCTTATCCCCATGAAATAATTAGGAAACTCAAGAACAGGAGGTTGTAACTCCTGCAAAGTCACGAAACTGAGAAGAAAAAGGAAAAGCCAGGACCCAAACAAACCCAAAACTTTCCCTCTTATCTCCTGACTTTCTAATAACACAGGCTGCCTCATCATCACTTGGACCAATTAGGTATTTTATTTTATTTTAATAAACTCAAAGTTAACAAAGTAAGGTAAATAATTGGAGCTAAAAAAACAAGTGTCTTAAACGTATTTTCTTACACATACAGTCAGTCAATGATTATCAACTAGAAATTCAGGGCACATTTGTAACAGCTATGTGTGGTAGGACTTGTCCTGTAATTTCACATAAAAATATTGTTTTCTATTTGTTATGTAATAGATGTTACTTTTCCAATACTTACTTTCATCAATTGAGCCACTCGGGTAAATATTACTGTACCTGAGTAAAATCATAACTTTTGTAAGTCTAAAAAATCAAATGTATTGCCAGTAGCTGCATCACAAATGAAAACACTTAGGCAGATGCGACACTACCCTCAACAACCACAGATCAAATACTGGGCTATTTAAGATGAAATAGTTCTTCACTTCCTGAAGGTACGTACTTAAACACCTAAAAAGGTTAACCCTCTACAATTCAGTGTTTTGTCAGTAGAGAAAAGGCAAGTATACAAAGAAAAGGAATCTACAAAGAGAAACTGGAATCATCTGAAAACTACAGATGTGATTCAGAAATAATTTAACAATCCACAATCACTATGAATTATTATAAACTTACCTCAAGCTGACCTCCCCATGCAGCTGTGTTTATGATATCATCACAGTACTTTCCAAACTCTTCTGTAGAGAATAACAGAATATAGCTCTTAATAATTTTCATAACTCCTGTTATAAAATCCCTTTTATAGCTCCCATAATTCCTGATAAAACTGTGCAAGATACGAACTTCCTTCTTACCTGTACTCTCGAGTTTAATCCACTCACTAGATCCAAACATGCTACAATTTTCCACCACCTTTCATCCAAGAGCAAAGCATTTCTGCTTCCCTCCCTCAGTCCGAGACCCAAGGACCTTAACTACATACCAAAGCTTACTTCCCTCTCTTTATCCCAAGCAATGACTCCCCAAAATTGTCAACTTATTCACTATCTTGATATGTATTTTAAAGCCTAAACATGCATCTAAAAAAATACACCAGAGGAATAAAAATGTAGCCCCTATAAAATCAGCTCCACTGTAAGACCTTAAGAAATGTGAAAAGAGAATTAAGGTAAAAGTAAAAATGCGTTGGAACTCCTCTCTCAGAGATAGCATCAAATGGTGCCTCCACTTATTATGTTGGAAACATTTACCTTATTTGCATCACTATCTTATATAAAACAATATATTTTAACTACAAAATACATAAAATAATTAAGTACATAATAAAGCAATATGGACTACAATATATTAAAATTATAGAAAATAATTCTACCTAAAGTTTGAGATATTTCTCCCCATAAGGATTATACCAGTTTTTCTTATTGTCTCAGGAAGCACTTTATTTAACAATGACAACAACCACAACTGCAACACCTGGGCATGGTAAAGAAAAATAAGTTACCTGGAGTATACATATTTCCTGTGTTAGGGTTTGTTAAAAATGGCAGAAAGTCTTCCATGTGGCTTTGCATATAGTTGGCAGCTTGACTTCTTAAGGCAGCTACAGTCAGAGGGCATGCCTGGTCTTTCAGCTGATCTTCAATGGCTCTGTACATGCAGTGGCCGTCAGATGGGATCTGTTTGATTTCCAACTGTCTGGCTGCCAATATTTGTGCAAGTTTTTCACTTTCCACATGTCTAGCTCCATATATGTTCTCAATTTCAGCTTCAGCTATCCTTTCTTTCTGCTCCTTTTCCAATGCAGCTTTTTTGTCCTAAGAAGAAGACAATGTAGGAAAGTTAATTCATAATAATTAGGACAAATTTACATTTATTAAGGAGATAGAAATATAAGATTCTCAAAACATTTTTGCCATTTTTCTTCCTTCTCCACAAGCACTATCATATTGATGGTCTCATCATTTACAGGATCTTCAACACTCTGAGCTCCTTTAAGGGCAAACTACCTTTCTCATCTACATGTATCCGGCAGCTAGCTCTGTAATAGGACTAAAGCCCTCAAATTTTTCCTTGAAAAATTTAAAACTTTTGAAAACTACATGCTATATATTTCTAAAAATTTTACTTACTAATTTCAATGCCCTGTCTTAAGACTGGCTTGTCCATCTTCTCAGACCACAATGGTATGAAACTAGAAATCAATTGCAAGAAGAACATACAAAGACATTTTAACACATGGAAGCTAAATAGAATGTTATCAAACAATGAATGGGTCACCGAGGAAATCAAGGAAGAAATCAAAAACTTCCTGGAAACCAATGAAAATGAGGACACAACAATACAAAATCTATGGGATGCAGCAAAAGCAGTTCTGAGAGGGAAGTTCATAGCACTACAGGCCTACCTCAAAAAAGAAGAAAAATCTCTAATAGACTACCTAACCTCACAACTTAAAGAACTAGAGAGTAAACAAAAAGAAAACCCCAGAGCAAGTAGAAGAAAGGAAATAGTAAGGATCAGAGCAGAAATAAACGACATAGAGACCAAAAAAACAATCCAGAGGATCAATAAAACAAAGAGCTGGTTTTTCGAAAAGATAAACAAGATTGATGGACCCTTAGCTAGACTCACCAAGAAACAAAGAGACAGAACCCAAATACATAAAATCAGAAATGAAACAGGTGAGATAACAACTGACCCTACAGAAATACAAAAGATCGTTAACAACTACTATGAAAAATTATACGGCAACAAATTCGAAAATCTAAGCGAAATGGACAAATTTCTAGAAACACACAGTCTCCCAAAACTGGATCAGATAGAGATTGAAAACTTGAACAGACCAATAACAACAGAAGAAATTGAAGATGTAATCAAGACTCTTCCAGCAAAAAAGCCCAGGCCCGGATGGCTTCACAGGGGAGTTTTACCGAACATTCAAAGAAGAACTAATACCCATTCTCCTCAAACTATTTCAAAAAATTCAAGAAGAAGGAAGACTTCCAAACTCATTTTATGAAGCCAGCATAACTCTAATTCCAAAACCAGAAAAAGACACAACAAAGAAAGAAAACTACAGGCCAATATCCCTGATGAACATAGATGCCAAAATCCTGAACAAAATACTAGCAAATCGAATCCAGCAATACACCAGAAAAATTATCCACCATGACCAGGTGGGATTCATCCCAGGGATGCAAGGCTGGTACAATATTCGCAAATCCATAAATGTGATATACCACATAAATAAATTGAAGAATAAAAACCACATGATCATATCAATAGATGCTGAAAAAGCCTTTGACAAAATCCAGCATCCATTTCTGATAAAAACGCTCAGCAGTGTGGGAATTCAGGGATCATACCTAGACATAATAAAGGCCATATATGAAAGACCTACAGCCAACATCATACTCAATGGGCAAAAACTAAAAGCATTTCCCTTAAGAAAGGAACAAGGCAAGGATGCCCACTTTTGCCACTCCTATTTAACATAGTACTGGAAGTCTTAGCCACAGCAATCAGACAGGAAGAAAAAATAAAAGGGATCCAAATTGGAAAGGAGGAAGTGAAATTGTCATTATTTGCAGATGACATGATACTGTACATAGAAAACCCCAAAGACTCCACCAAAAGCTTACTAGACTTAATAAATGAATTTGGCAAAGTAGCAGGATACAAAATTAACGTCAAGAAATCGATGGCATTCTTATACACCAATGATGAACTCACAGAAAGAGAAACTAAGCAAACAATCCCATTTACCATTGCGGCAAAAAAATTAAGATACCTAGGAATAAACTTAACCAAAGAGATAAAGGACCTATTCGCAGAAAACTACAGGTCTTTGAAAAAAGAAATAGAGCAAGATGTAAAAAAGTGGAAGAACATACCCTGTTCATGGATTGGGAGAATTAACATCATTAAAATGTCCATATTACCCAAAGCAATCTATAGATTCAACGCAATCCCCATCAAAATACCAACGGCATATTTCAAAGAATTAGAACAATTACTTCAAAAGTTCATATGGAACCAAAAAAGGCCTCGAATATCCACAGCAATCTTGAAAAGGAAGAACAAAGTTGGAGGGATCACAATACCAGATTTCAGGTTATACTACAAAGCCACCATAATCAAAACAGCCTGGTACTGGCACAAGAACAGGTATATAGACCAGTGGAACACAATAGAGAACCCAGAAATGGACCCTAGGCAATATGCTCAATTAATATTTGACAAAGGTGGCAAGAGCATACAGTGGAGTAAGGACAGCCTCTTTAATAAATGGTGCTGGGAAAATTGGACAGCTACTTGCCGAAAAATGAAACTAGACCATCAACTTACACCCTACACCAAAATAAACTCAAAATGGATAAAAGACTTAAATGTAATTCATGAATCAATAAAAATCCTAGAGGAGACTGTGGGCAACAAAATCTCAGACATCATACGCAGCAGAATTTTTACTGACACATCACCTAAGGCAATAGAAACAAAGGAGAAAATGAACACATGGGACTACATCAAACTCAAAAGCTTCTGCACAGCGAAAGATACAATCATCAAAACGGAAAGGCTGCCCACTGTATGGGAGAACATAATTGCCAATGATATATCAGATAAGGGGTTAATTTCCAATACATATAGAGTGCTCATACAACTCCACAAAAGGAAGACAAAGAATCCAATTAAAAAATGGGCAGAGGAACTAAATAGACACCTCTCCAAACAGGACATACAAATGGCTAAGAGACATATGAAGAAATGTTCATCATCACTAATCATCAGAGAGATGCAAATCAAAACAACAATGAGGTATTACCTCACACCTGTCAGAATGGCCGCCATCAACAAATCATCAAACAACAAGTGTTGGCGAGGGTGTGGAGAAAAGGGGACTCTAGTACACTGTTGGTGGGAATGCAGACTGGTGCAGCCACTATGGAAAACAACATGGTGTCACCTCAAAAAATTAAAAATTGATCTCCCATTTGACCCAGTGATCCCACTTCTAGGAATATACCCTACGAAGCATAAAACACCAATCAGAAAGAATGTATGTACCCCCATCTTTGTAGCAGCACTATTTACAATCGCTAAGATCTGGAAACAGCCCAAGTGCCCATCAGTAGACGAATGGATCAAAAAGCTGTGGTACATATACACAATGGAGTACTACGCAGCGGTAAGAAAGAAAGATCTCTTATCCTTTGAGACTATATGGAGGGACCTGGAAAGTATCATCCTAAGTGAAACAAGCCAAACAGAGAAAGACAAATTTCATATGATCTCACTGATTTGTGGAATATAATGAACATAACAGTTTGAGGACAATCCCCTAAGGAGTGGGGAGGTGGGAGAGAGATGAACCACAGAACTTATATGCATGTATACATGAACAGTAGACATGGACAACAATCTGGGGAAGGGGCAGGGAGGGAAGGGGGAGGGGGGAATCAGTGGGGGAAAAAAGGAGAATCATTTGTAACAAAAATTAATCAATAAAAAAAAAAAAGACTGGCTTGTCCTAGGCCTTGAAGCACACCTTATCATATTTAAGTCCAGGCTAATGCCGAGCTTTGTAACTTAGCACTCCACCAGTGAGACATTAACATGCTAAAGGTTAGAAAGGTACAGGTATTCTATTTACATGTATCTAGCTTTAAAAAAATGTGTGTGTGTGTGTGTGTGTGTTATGTGCATGTGTAAACAAGAGACAAACATTTTATTCACATAACAAATAAAAATATTCTTCAACTAAAAAACTGAAATACGACAGATGAAGTTCCCCTTAAGGACCACGGCCAATCCCAGTGCCTGCTCTAGAGGCATGTTGTATATCCTTCTAGATTTTTTTTTCCTATTCATTTTATTTATTTATTTATTTATTTTTATCAATTGATTTTAGAGAGAGGAGGGAAGGGGGAGAGGGGAAGAAGGGGAGGGAAAGGGAAAGGGAGGGAGGGAGAGAGAGATCGATTTATTGTTCCACTTATTTATGCATTCATTGGTTGTTTCTTGTATGTGCCCTAACCAGGGATTAAACCTGCAACCTTGGCCTATCGGGAGGCCAGGGCCTCCTCTGAGTTTTAATGAATACAGATGTACTCGTAGAAAATGTGTTAAAAAAAACTTTTTAACAATTTTATACATCACATTCTGTAATTTGCTTTCCTTATTCAAATGCCATAAGAAATCTTCCCATAAAGCATATGCAAAGATGGGGTGGGAGGAGGAATGAGAGATCTGTGATATGAAGGATGGACAGGCAGTAGAGTGAGAAGGTTGGGGGAAAAGAGAAAAAAATTCTTGACACTCAGAATAGCAAGGATGAAAAGCCAAAAGCAATTATGTCTCATAGATGAACACAGTCCATATAGCTAGCATACCAGAGAAGAGTGTCAAGAGATGAGGTTGGGGGAAAAAAGATAGGTACATACAAATGGTCCCTGACTTACGATGGTTTTGATTTAAAATTTGTTGACCTTACAACAGTGTGAAAGCATACACATTCAGTGGAAACCTTACTCAAATTCTGAATTTGATCTTTTCTCCAGTTAGCAATATGTAGTATGAGACTCTCATGATAATGGACAGCGACAGCGAGCCATAGCCCCAGTCAGGAAGTGACCATGAGGTAAACAACCATATTCTGTATAGTCACTGTGTTAGATGATTTTGCCCAACTATAGGCAAATGTAAGTGTTCTGAGAATGTTTAAGGTACATTAGGCCAAGCTAACATTTGGTAGGTTAAGCATGTTAAATTTCAATATTTGCAATTTATGAAGGGTTTATCAGGACTTCACCCCATCATAAGTCGAGGAGGATCTGCAGTTTATACATTAAATCTATGCACACAGTTAAAAAAAAAAAAACAAAACACCAGAGGGACAAACACAAAATATTTATAATACATCTCTCTGGATGGTACAATTACAAAATAAATTTGATTTGTGTGTGTGTGTGTGTGTGTGTGTGTGTGTATGTTGCATTATTCTGCATCTTTCTAATTCTCTACTGTATGTTTTACTTGTATACACGGGGGGGGGGGGAGTTTTTCAATTTAAGAGAATAAAAATAAACTAAATTCTACAAATCTTGATATTGGTAGCAAATTACAGGGTAAACCTAGGGAAAGGCAAAGAATTTCATGTTCCTATCTCTAACTCCTCCTCGGGGCACAAGAAGTGAATGGAAAGGCAAATATCAGTTTAACTTAATGCTACATGCTGTACTTACTACATGCCTGTTAAATGCCATGCTAGACAAATCTGAAGTGAGTTATAAGTTACCTAATTCAAAAATTATCTCCCTAATAAAACATAAACCTATTTAAGGTTCCAACCATTCCAAAAATAACATGAACAAATTTATCTCACTACAACTATGGATTACAGTAGCATAAAATCTTAAAACACAAGATAATATATGACTTTATAAAACACTAAAAAACATTTTCAAAGAGAAAGGTGAGAATAAGGACCTTAGATCTATTCCCAAACCCCTCATTTTCCTCTTGGGAGGAAACTGCATGCAGAAAGATTTCTAAAGACAATACAATTGGGTACAGCAGAGAAGGAGCCAAGGACAACACAGAGAGCTCCTTCCATCTAGGCAACTGAATCAGAATAAAAAATTATAGCAGATGGGATCTGGACTTAATGATGTTATGTACTAGTTACTGCAAAACTGTTGTGAGCCTCTGAAATACTAATCCAATCATTTGGGTTGTTTTCCCCCTAATGCTCTGCTCCAATATTACAAAGCAATTGTTTCCTTTCCAGAGTACTAGCTGAGATATCCATTGGATTCTTTTCCCAGCAGCATATTGTAGACCAAAAAGGGGTTTTATGGAAAGTAACCTCACAAGATGATCAAATCATAAATTTCTAACTGTGTAGGTCATGGTGGATAGTCATGCCCGAGGCATAAAACTGCTTTAGTAAAAGACGTATTTTTGCCTTAAGCACACATTGGCCATGGTTTCTATGTATCTAGGTTAAGACACCCTTAAAATGCCTCCTTTCAGACCCCTCCTTCTAAAGTAGTGACCACACTCAAGAGAGCACATAATCTTAACCATCCCAAAATGAATCCCTGCCTTGATTTCTCTCCACTTCATGTAACCTTTAAGTTCCCATCCTTAATCCCTAATATATAATAAAATCTGCAAACTGAGATATTGCTCCCAGGCACATGTCTTCAGTTTAGCTCATATAAACTTTTTTTTAAAATATGTTTTTATTAATTTCTTATAGAGAGAGGAATGGAGAGAGATAGAAACATTGATGTGAGAGAACATCAATCAGCTGCCTCCTGCACCCGCCCCCCCCCCCACTACCGGAAATCAAGCCCACAACCTGGGCACGTGCCCTGACCAGGAATCGAACCTGGACTTCTTATTCCATGGGACTACATGCAATTCACTGAACCATACCAGCCGGCCACAAACTCTTTTAAAAAATTCTCTACAGATCTCATTCCAGCTCTCAAATTTCTTAGTTTTGGAACCTAGTTCTTTTGAGTTCTACATTGGACTTTTTCCATCATACCAAATTAAAGCACTGAAGTTCTTTGAATTAAATACTCCTACGTTTCTCTAGTTTAAAAATAAGAGATTTGCTATACAACATTTCAATAATAAATATTCATAGTTTTGTCATAATTTTCTGCCAGAGAGCTGTATCTCTCCCAAAGATAATACCATTAGTTAATTAGTTTTTCAATCATTGTTGCCTTCAGCTAAAAAAAAAAGGAGGTTCAAAATTCCAGAATCCCATTAATATAAGAAAGCAAAAAAACTTTGGGCATTACTTCTAGGGTACTTTCTCTGTCAAGTGTTAACAGAGCTGAATATAAAAGATATGAACATTTTTGAGAGGGTACAGCTAAAAAAAGATATGCATTTCTGCAGTACTTTAGGAGAAAAATTATAAAATGTTTGAGAAAGGTAAAGAAGTTTAATTTGCCGTTTGTTCTGTTGCCTGGGGGTCTAGGAAGGATGACCAAGTTATGATAAAGACAGGAAGGAATTGTATCCTTATGTTTTCCAGAACAAAACAGGCTACCCTAAGATGTATCTATTACTAAGTAGAGACAATTTTAACATTATTGCCAAGCAAAAATTCTTCCCTTCAAACAGTGTGGCTCAGTGGCTGAGCATCGACCCATGCACTAGGAGGTCGCCGGTTCGATTCCCAGTCAGGACACATGCCCAGGTTGTGGGCCTGATCCCCAGTGGGGGCCATGCAGGAGGCGGCCAATCAATGTCCTCTCTCATCGATATTTCTATCTCTCTCTTCTTCCCACTTCCTCTCTCTCTAAAATCAACAGAGAAAAAAAAATTTTTTTTAATTCTGCCCTTCATTTTTGATCTATAGATCATGATTATAAGGCTATCACACATACACACACACAAACACAAAACATAAGCTGAACTAGGTAACTTTCAAGATACCATGAAATCTAAATTTCACAATTTTTTGAAATTCACAATCATAAAGTTTACTCAAGAATAAAACTGTACCTAAGTGTGAAAAATGTTTAACAATTTGAACTTTATCAACTTTCAAACCAAAAAAAAAAAAAAGACAGTGATCTTGGGTTGAATTTTTTAGAAGTATATTATGCAATAGTTAACACAGTGAACAATACTATCATTTGTTCATTCAGTAGTTCTCCAGGCCTTGTATTAGAACTCTGGAAACAGTAAATTACTTAATATTCACAGTAACTCTATGAAGAAGGTATTCTTTCCCCCCATTTATACATGTGAAACTAAGGCTTAAGAATCTTAAGAATCAAAGTCGCACTGTACGTGGGATTAAAACCCCATCTGTCTGACACCAAAGTCCATGCTATATTAAATAAGATGCAAAGCTAGCTTAAAAATAAACATTTAAATCCCAGAAAACATTAGGTGTTAGTAAAACAACATTTGGGACTAAAAAGGTTGGATTTAAACTTCCTTTTTGAAGTGAAAAGGCCTCACCTTATCTAATTTCGTTACCATAATTTTGATACCATTAACTCATTAATTCCAATAAATCAGTTTCCATATAGTTCTTTGATAATACAAAATTTCATTCCCACGCTTCTGTCTATGCTATTTCTCCTACTTTGTATATCCTATCTAAATAATTAAATGTCCCTTAATTTCAACTCATTATTTAAAACTACACAGTGAACTTTCCCTTCTGCAAACAAAAAAGGCAAGCCTGACACAATTAACAGAAAATAACCACATGGGATGTCCTGATCATAAAAAAAAAATCCTAAATAAGCAAGTTGTGGTAGGAAGTTACATCCTAAAGCCTATCTGATAGATTAATCTCTGCACTGAAAAAGCACTGTCCACTGCTCTTGTGCATCTAGAATAACACATTTAAAATATCAGAATGATTTCTTCTCCAGGTCTTCAAAGATAAACACCCTGGTATGGGACCAGATGACCCCAACATTCCTCATTCTTATCTTTTACCCACATACCTCTGTAAACTATGCCTGTTAAATGTTAACTGTCCACCAATGTAAAAGAAACATGGATCTCTCCATTTTACCTTTTATTCAATCCTAGAGATATTCTGCTTCACTCTCTCCTGCTTCCAGTGGATTTCACATAACCTTTCTTATGTCTTGTCCTTTGACACAAATGTACAAAGTAAACCAAAACTGCTACTCCCTAGACCATTATTTCAATCCTTTCAGATTCTGCTTCTGGGACTAACCCCAAAACCTTGGCTCAAAATAAACTACCTTTAGGTTTGGAATTTCTTTTAACACTTATCTGAATTTCCACCAATTTTATACACTTATGTATCTTGCTTAACTTGTCGGTTCAAATCCTGGTTTTAGCACTAACCACTATAGTTTATAAGCAAAGTTGTGCACCACAACCACCTAGGCCCACAGTGTGAAGATTTTGCATCAAGTCTGTATATATTTGTAATAGATATTTATAAAAATATATATTCGCATACTTATAAAAAATATTCCTTGTACACCCCCTCTTCCTAGCTCCAACTAACTAAAAACTGATTAGGTTGTTTTGCATTGCCGTAGGCCTATTTCTTCTCTATCAAATGAAAAGAAGAAATCTTACTTCACAGGATTATTATCAGGACAAGAAACTCCCTCACTTTTTTTTTTTCTACTGTCTTCCTATATAACAACTAAGATAGTACTGAAGCACATAGCACTAACTTAAATACTTGGTAACAACTTTCATACCCGTCTCTTTTGTGCCCTTGATATCCGAGGCGGCTGGGTCTCAAGAACCAAGTTTGAAATGTTAACAGCGTCAAAATCTCTCTGAAGAAAACAGACAGAAAGCATTAACTAGTTAATAAAAAAATATTTTTAAGTTAGTATTCAAAGTATCAGATTAATACATTATTAAAAATCACATATATGTGTAATTCCACAATTAAAATTTGAGTAACAGCACTAGATAAACATTAGACAGCATAGTTTTGTCTCCTTTCTCTATTTATAAGGGATAATTTATCAGATTCTCAAGAAGTTTCCTTAAAGTTCTTCAAAGGTAATGCTCATCCCTGCATGTTATTCTTCCTTCTTAGCATGTCCACTCCATTAATCTAAATACTTCTTTTAAGGGCCAACTCATTCAGCATTCCACCCTTCCCCTCTCTAAATGTTGACAGTATTCATAGGATATACAAGGTGCTGTGCTGGATCAGTTCATTACTACCTTCATAACCTCAACAGCAGCAGCAGAGGTCTTTCTCCAGCATAATGAATGAGAACCGGAAGGGCACTGCTTCTTGACCCTAGTTAATAAGTTGAGCTTTTACTATCCTTTCCCATCTGATAACTATAGGTAGAATTAAACTTTTAAATATCATTAAGACATTACAATGACTCTTAAGCATTAAATGGGAATCATGTATTTGCTGAGGAAAAGATTCTAGATTTACAACCATCAGGATTAGTAGCTAGTATTTTATTACTGCAAGTAAGTTAAGCTAGTTTTTATATGACACACAAAAGAAGCGTATCAATGCCTCTAATAACTCTCCAAGGCTATGGTCCAAATGATCAAATATCAAAATCAGATTAAGATTTTAGAGTGGTTATCACCTTTAGTGAAATTAGTACTCTTATATTTTTCATTGGAATCTGTTAAGATTTATAAATTGCCATACTGACAATAGGTAAGATACGAGAAACAACTGGGAAAAAAAAAGAGAAACGATAACATAAGAAATCAGGCAGCTTTCAGAAAGAAAACAGGTGTATAAGTTAATGAAAAAAAAAACAGTTCAAAGTAGAATGGCAGTTTGTATTCGAAGAGTTGGATAATATGTAATTTAAGAATTAAAACATTTTTGTCCTGGGAAACCCAGGAAAGATATCTCAAAATTGAAAGGCCTGAGACAGCAAACAAAACTATCTTACCAAAAAGATCGGGAGACAATTAGGAATACCATTTGTGACAACACAATTAAACACCTGGACTACCAAGCCTTGTGACTTGGAAATAAAATATCTTAAAGGCCCAGAAGGCCAGGATCTTGATGATTGGCTAATAAAGTTAAAGAAAATGAGACTATGTTTAATATAATAACCTTTATAAATCAATATAGACAAGCTGTTTTCCCTATCAACAGCAGACCAAACATGAAATTTAATTATGGTAGAAGAATTTTTGCATAGACATAAGAACTTTCTAACTACTAAAATGGAGCGAGGTTATGCAGTCTGATCCTTGATATCCAAAACCAAGCAATAAACTACCACACTATAAAAAATTATAACAGAATTCAACATTCACATGCTGGAGTAAGACAGCTCTGGCTTTGGCACTTAATAGATGCTATGAATTCAGGACAATGTTCTTCATCTTTTGGAGTCTGTTTCACACTTTAAAATGGGATTACCTACACTTACTTCATAGGCAATACCTCATAATGTGTTACTATGAGAACTATGAGAAACTGCATGTAATACGTTAAACATAGTACATGGCACACAACTTGTATTAGCCACAACAATAAAATGAAGATAAGTTAAAATGATGACAGTATGCTTCAGTTTACCCAAGAAACCTCAGTAAATTTTCATTCATTACAACTTGTTCATAAAGCACTTTTATACTTTAAAAATGATTTCACAGTGTCCTATTTGACTCATACAAATAGCAGAGGTATTTTACTCAAATAGCAGAGGTATTTTTATCATCGTATGTGGAGAAATTTATGCTCAGGAAGTTTCAGCAAGTTTATCCAGGTTACCATCATATTTAATGGCAATCTGGGGGCAAAACGTCTGTACTTCCAACTCTCACTTGGTGAAGCTTCCTCTAGTCCACTTTATCAATCTGTTCATCTTCTGGGTACATAGTTAAAAATGTACATTATTTGCTGATCTCCCTTACAAAAACACACTACCATGTAAACCTGGTCACAAGATAACGAAAGTAATGCATGAGCATGATTGACTTCATTTCCCTCCAAATGTATTACTTCACACAGTAAACAGTTTAACAGAAGTGGACAACTGCTTTCAAATGCTGTGGGCAAAGAGAAACATACTTGACTCTCCTTAGAAGCAAGCTTCAATTGCTCCAGTTCCTCTCTATGTTTCTGCTCCATCTCTGCTTCCAACTTAGCAACATCTTCAGTGAGTTGCTTCCTCCTCTTTTTGTCATTCTTGGGAACAGCATTCTTCATACCTTGAATTTTGGCTGAAAATCCACCAAAAACTTTTAAGTCAAAAACCCAGACAGGGTTTAAGAGGAAAGGAATAATAGGAACAATAAGGAGAGGGTACAGAAAAAGTTCATTATGTAAACAAGAATAATTTCATAACAATCAGACAATTACAGAAAAGAACCCACTTGAAACTGAGTCGCCTCTGCCCCCAAAGTCTCATTAACATAACCGTGAGTTTGTTGTGGTGGAGACGAAAGAAAAAAAATAAATAACTGAAGTTTCTAAATCTTTCCAGTACCCCTCTGAGTCCTCAAAATTGAAGTAAGGTATTTCAAAAAGCCTCCATTATGGCCAAGTGCAGGTGCCCGGGCAGGACTGGGAAAGGGGGACCGGGGAGGGAGGCGGAACAGTCGGGCTCTTCCACGGCGGCTCGGAGCGCTCTCAGACCCCAGCATTCGGGGGCGGCAGGGGCCGGGGCCGGGGCCGGGACCGCGTCGGACCCGAAAAGGGGAAGCCACTGACGATTTGGGGGACTAAAGGACCTCGGGGCAGGGGAGGCCAAAGGGAAGAGGCCACTGGCTACTTGGGAGAAGTCTAGGACAATGCAGATTCGAAGCCCAACACTCCCCAGAACGGGCCGTCTGGCGATTCCGGTCCCCACTCCGCCCTTACCTTGCAGCTCCTTCTTCTCTTTGCGATGCTTTCTCACCAGCTGCTCCTCTTCGTCAAACCCTTCTGCCAAGACTACCTCCATGACCACCAGGTCACCCAGCACTCGGAACAATCCTGCACCAGCAGCAGGCTGGCACCTCCCACCCCTCAACCCTCACCCTGGGCGCCATTGGCCAGGTTGGGACGCAGCCCCGCCTTCAAGGCGGTCCCGGATTTAGACCTAGTCTCTGGAAGGACGAGAAAGGCGAATGGATGTCTGCGAGCATGCGCACTGCCGTGACCCCGCCCCCGACAGAAGCCGGAAGGCGTGCAGGGGCGGGGCCTGGCTGGCTGGCGCGTGCAGCCTGGTGATGAACTAGCTGGCTGGCTGGAGCCCCCTGGCAATGAAGCTGCGGTCTGGGCTATGGGTCCTGATGAGAGGCGCGCGAAGATGACATCGGGAGAACCATTTTGGAAGTTCCTGTTGTGTTCCATTTCTTTTTCAATCCTTACTTTTGGTCCCATTGCTGAGAAGAGCTCTCCAAAAGATAAGAAATAAAAAATCAAACATCAATAAAACCGTTAATAACTATCAATAGGAATCCTTGGGTTGAATCAAACAATAGTTAATAAGTTGTTTATTGTATTAAAGGTGTTTAAAATAATATGAACAAGGCACTTTAAAATGGAGTTTGAACTGCCATCCCAGAGGAGCTGCCTTGCAGATCTTCCTCCTCAAACCTTCCGAATGTTAACCTTTGGACTGAGCCTAAAGTGGCATTGTATCCAAACAGTTGGGCAGAGATGACAGTAAAACCAGGCTAAAGATTAGACACAATATTTAGAATTAGCATCACTATGTTAGCTAATCTGTACCTGTAGAAACTCTTTCCTTCTATTCATGTAATTGTTTCCCTTCCTTTTCTCTTAAATACCCCTGCCTTTATTGCCTGTGGATCCTGACAGTAACGATATCTACTAAAAAGGGTGCCTGATGGCTAAATGGATACAAATATTAAAAATAGAACTTCGCCCTGGCCGGTGTTGCTCAGTGTTTGGAGTAACCTCTGTGCACCAAAGAGTCACAGGTTTGAATTCCCAGTCACAGCACATACCTGGGATGTGGGTTCAACCCCAGTCAAGGTATGTATGTGAGGCAGTCAATCAGTGTTTCTCTCTCTCTCTCCCTCCTTCTCTGTAGAATCAGTGAAAAAGTATATCCTCGGGTGAGGATTAAGAAAACAAACATTTTAAAAATAGCTTAACAATCATTTCTACACAGGGGCTTCTCTCCACTTTTCTTTCCCGGAACTTCAGGGGAGAACCTACACTATATTGCCTGCCTCCTGCACAGAACTGCTTTCCTGCACTGTGTTCCTGCCATCTGAGCCAGCCTTATAAAGGAGTTCCTGGAATCCTATTTCAACCAATAGGACAGAGACTTTCCCCATCCAATCAGAGCTGCGCAGGTATATTCTCATTAACATCTTTACTCACCAAGTAGAGCATCTCCATTCTGACCAGTCAGGACAGTGCTTAATTGAACAAACTGTGACGCTTTTGAGCCCTCATTTGCATAAGAATGGTCCTATCAGGGTCCAGAGGAACTACTGTCTATGTCAGTCAGCTGTCCTCCAGTTCTAGGAGTGTACTTTCTCTTTTCACTGAAGATTGCATTTCGCAGCTGGAGCTGAAGCACTGAAGGCATCTTACCAGTGCAGAGTGAAGCAGACCAGGACAGGGCACAGCAGAGCAGAGTAAACTGGAGCAGGTGGAGAAGACCAAAACAAAGCAGAATTGTGGTAGCTGGAGAGGGGCCTCACTGCAGGGCTTTCTTGCCACACGGCCTCCTTGCCTCAGGGCCTCTCCACAACCCTGCTGCTTCATAATTGAGCTTTTTGCACTGAATAGTGTTCTTCTTCACCACACCCCAAATTAGGAATTCCTGTTGGCACTGAATTGGTGCCAGGGACCATAGGTTAACATGTTGAAGTAGTGGACCATTGGGGATGGGGAAGTACTGTAACCATGAGATGGAAGTTGAGGCTGAATTTCCCTGAAAAGAGAAGTACACGTAAATAGATGGCAGTTGGGTCTTATGAACTTCATAGAGAAAAAATACTTTGGATTATTTCTATCCTATGAAATATCATGATCTCAGTTTTGCCTTCTTTCTCATTTTTCTGTATTTTACATCTAGCATAACATTTACATAAGCCAATGAAAAATATCAACAGCTATCTTATACATATTTGGTAATCATAAAAGAGTTGGACTATGTAGAAAAACCCAGAGAACATGTATAACTATTATTGTGACTAATATGTTATAGAAGAAATGTTTGAACCTAAAGAGAATTTTTATGAGTTTATTTGAGCCAAATTGATGACAATTACTGGGAAGCAAAATCTCAATGGATTGAGAAAATGTTCCTGAGAATGCCAGTTTTGCAGCTTATTTTATATACTAGAAAAAAAGGAAGAGACATAAAGAAAGTTACATGAAACCTACAGGTGGTAGATTAAGGGGGAAAGAGAAAGCAAAACAGGGAAATGTCTGGGATTAAATAAAAAGCAAAATGATAGATACTGGATAATAAACATTTGTAGTACATTGAGATGGTATGCAGACAACAATAACAATGAGTGCTTCTGTGGTCTCATATTTTGGTGCTGGCAATTGTGCTTTGAGGGGTCTGGAAAAGGAGATTACACTGATATTTCAAAGGTATGTTATCTTAGATGCAAAAACACAATAGGCAGGCTCACTTAGGGTAAATATTGACCTTTGTCAAAGAAGCTACAGGCCTTGGACGTGACTATCTACCATGACCTGCTTTTAGTTATTAATATTTATGTTAAACCCATCCTGCGTGGTTGCTTTCTGTCTCCGTGTTTGTAAGGTCTGCCATTCAGGCCTGCTCTGAGCTGGTCAGTCTTAGTATGTGGCCCCTTTGTTGTCCACAAATATCACTAGCAGACAAGTAAAGACGATCAAACAATGGATTCTAAGTTCAATATCAACCCGTAAGTATACAGGCCTTGTCAATATCTTGGAATAGCTATCTCACTCTGATGTCAGTGGCTTCTCATCTTAGAGGAAACTTTGATGTCTATTATAGGCAGATGTGAGTTTCAGGGATAGGGGTATATGTTCCTTTGTGGTTAGATGCCAGACAAGGTCACTTCCTATGAAGTTGGAGAATGTCTTATCGATGTTCTTTCCCCGAGGAAAACTAAATCTATTTTGCATAAAGGAATGTAAAAACTGAAAAGGAAAAAAAAAAAAGGAACTGCCAGGAAGTTGGGAAATACCAGTGGCTGTCTTGGGATTCCCATAGCCCTGGCCAGTTCATTTAATTTACAACTATAGTTTACCCATATACTACCATCACTTATTTTTACAGTATTTCCCATTTCATTAACATGAAAAAAGAAACCTGATTAGTTTAAGATTTCTCTTTTTTAAGGAGGAAAAAAAGGTTTTGAGGTGTTCCAGGGGCCTTTCTGGAACACCACAAAGTTATTCCTTTATATGTTGAGATTTTTAATGCTTAAAACTTTTAATTTCTGAAAAATAAGAGGTAATCAATTAGCATTCTTTAGCTTGGAAAATTTATGAAGATATTTTATAACCACTGGAAACATATTTTGTAGACATAAAAGTCAATTATTAACATGGATTTATTTTATAAAATCCAGGTAAAATATAAATATTATATTTAATATCAGTAATTCAAAAGACCCCAAATAGTAACAGCAATCTTAAGAAAGAAGGACAAAGTTGGAGGTATCATGTTACCTGATTCAAACTATACTGCAAGTCTATAATCAAAACAACGTGGTCCTGGCATAAAATCAGACACATAGATCAATGGAACAGAATAAAGAGCCTAGAATTAAACCTATGTCGATGTGGTCAATTAATCTATGACAAAAGAGGCAAGAACATACAATGTAGTAAAAACAGTCTATTCAATAAATAGTGTTGGAAATATAGGACAGATATATAAAACACACACACACACACACACACACACAAAAAAAAACTAGACCACCTTCTTACACCATATACAAGAATAAACTCAAAATGCATTAAAGACTTCATTGTAAGACCTGAAACCATAAAATTCTCAGAAGAAAATGTAGGCAGTAAAATCTATTACATTTCTCTTAGCAATAGATTTTTCAGACAAATCTCCTCAGGCAAGGGAAATAAAAGAAAAAAATAAACAAATGGGTCCAGCCAGTGTGGCTCAGCAGTAGAGCGTTGACCCATGCACCAGGAGGTCACTGAATTCAATTCCCAGCCAGGACATGTGCCCAGATTGTGGGCCTGATCCCCAGTGGGGGGCATACAGGAAGCGGCCAGTCGATGTTCTCTCTCATCGATGTTTCTATCTCTCTCTCCTCACTTCCTCTCTCTCTAAAATCAATAAAGGAAAAAAAAAATTTTTTTAATTAAAAAATAAATAAACAAATGGAACATCATCAAACTGAAGAATTTTTGCCCAGCAAAGTAAACCATCAAGAAAATGAATAGAGGAGAGGGGCAAGATGGCTGCTGGATTTACAGCTAAAATACTGCATGGTCAACTTGAAGAAACAAGAGAAGTGTAGCTGATTGGACATATTTTGTCTAAGAAGCACTGAACAAGTAATGTAGAGACTGGTCAAAAAAGGGGGAATCACAGAAAGGAGGTGCTGCCCTGGAGCTGGTGCTTGGCTGAGAGACCCAAGAGATATTGACTGCACAGCTCCCTCCCCTTGGGAGTGTGGGCTCACATCCCCAAGCAGGGATCCCAAACCTGGAGCAGCAGAGACTGGAAGGAGAGCCAGCAGCAGAGCATCAGTCAGGGGGACCCCGGAGAACTCAGGCTGCCCAGTGAAAGAGCATGCCTACTGTTGGCAGCTCACCTTGAACTCTGACTGCTGAAAGGGGTGCGCTGTGGTGTTTGGCTCTAAGAAAAAGGAAGGGGCCTGAAGGCTACACCCACTTCGAGGGATCCTCTGCTTTCCTGAAAGGCATTGTGCAGAAAGCCTCAAATAGTGACTGAACTGTGTGGCTTAGGAAAGGGGAGAGGGTTATCCCACCTCCAGTGTGGGGTTGGAAACCCTCCCTACCCCACCCCATAGAGTTGGCAGCAGGGC